TTTGTAGATTTTTTAGTAGATTTTTCGTTTTCTTTTTCCTATTATTTTAAAATCTTTTGGGTTTACACTTGCTTAATACACGCACAAATATTTGTTTATAAATCAATAACTAATATTTCAGTTTTTAGTTAAATTAATTTTTATTTCATAGATAATTACTTAGATATTGGATTTAGGGAAGTAACTACAGTATTTTTTTAGTTTCTTAATCAAATTTCAACCAAAATATTGAGATAATAGGTATACATTTCATTACATACATTTCATCTTTCTTTTTTTCCATATAATGACTTCCTTCTCATTTAAATCTTAAAATAATAAATATTCAGGCATCATATTCTTATCACTTCAATATAATGACTCATTTATCATCTCCAATTTGTAGACAATAAATATTCAGGCATACTCATCTTTTATTATCACCACTTCTTTTTCATTTTCAATACTAATATAATAGATGTTCAGGCATTTCGTAATTTTCATCCCCAATGCAATATCTTCTTTCTCATCAGTAATTTCTATTCTCACATTTTTTCAGTTCCATTTTCTGTATAAGAGATATTCAAGCATCTCATCATTCTCAACCTCAATATAATAACTTCTTTCTTATCTCCAAATTATGAATAATGCATATATTTTCTGTATAATGTATATTCAGGCATCCTCAGCTTTCTCATGTCCACTTCTTTCTCATTTCCAGTACCAAGATAATAGATATTCAATGATATTCAGTCAGATAATAGATCAGTCTAATATCTTCTCATCCACTAACTCTAGATAATTGATATTCAGGCATCTCATCATTCTCATCCCCATTATAAAGACTCCTTTCTCATTCATTATCTCAAGATAATAGATATTTAGGTATCTAATTTTTCTCATTCCCAATACGACTTTAATACTTTTTTTCTTACTCCCGATATAATAAAATATTCGCTTATATTCTTGGGCTGACATTGCCTTTATTGTTGAAATTTTACAAAACGTTTTGATTTAGTTTTAATCACAAGTCTTTTTAATCACAGTTATGAATACTTACGTGAGTTAAAACAAAAACTAAATTAGGGTTTTACATCAGTGTAGTATCCACTTCTTCTTGATGTCTAATGCTCGACTGACAAAGCCCACAGCCCCTCAGAAAGTGTGTAAAGCATTTTAGCGTGTAAAGCGATTAAAGCGTCTTTTTATATACTAAGAAGCGCTAAATGCTTTGGTCGGGCCACTCGTATATTTTCGTATTATTTTGTTTCGAGTCGCAAAAGACGCTTTAAACGCTTTACATGCTAAATCTCTGTACTCGTTTTTTGGGTGCCCGTCGCTTAAACTCTTCTTCAGCATATAAGTTGTATTATATTTGTTTATTATTCCATACACGTTATGCGATACTGGACATCGTGGTATGGTGCCTGTTGATACATTATTCGACTCCATTTGAATCCTTTTTCATTTACAACTTTTCTAATTACTTAAAAACTTCTAGTGCGATCAATATTTTGGTTAAATAAATGAATAGTTAATATTTAGTATTTAGGATATTTATGTAATTACTTCCCTTGACCGTGTTTATATATGCAATTTCAAACTGGTTGTAAATAACTTTAGAACTTAAATTCACTGTAAAATTTAAGAATATATCCCCGGTAAATATAACTTAATACACAAGACACGGCCGGTCTAGCACAGTACCAGGCACCACGTTTTCACACACCTACACCTACACCTTAAATTTTCTCTCGATTGTGACGAATACGCATGTGTGTTGTTCTCCTGTAGCTCACGAACACTTAGCCGAACTGATGCCGATCTTTGACGAGATCCGAGCTAGAGGGGAGATAGGCAACGCGTATCCGCTGCACGTGGGTTCAAACGCCGGACCCACCCTTCACTTGGCCCACGTCAATCCGAACACTTGCTATTGGGTAAAGTTGACTACTTGTGTGACGTGAACCGATCTCGATATCGGTGTCAATCGCAATCGTTTCACTCTAGAATTCCTTTTCGTGTGTTTTGACTGCTATTTTAGGTACTTATCTATTTTACCTCATAAGATGTAGGCTTATGGTATTTTACTTTTTAAGTACTAGTATTTAATTACTAATCATAAAAAAATCAGTTCTCGTTTTAGCATCACAAAATACACTAAAATATTAGACAATATGGCGTTTTTATACAAATGTTGTTTATAAAATTTTATTTAAAATTTTTTTAAGGGTCTGAGTGAGACGATTGTGTTGTCTATCATGTTAAAAGAAATATTTAGGTCTATGGTGTATAACATATTCAGTTATCTCATTTTATTCTTCAATGCATACCGGGTGGTGCATCGGCATTGGAAACATAGGAAATCCTATGTAAATTTTGAATTGCGCAAATATTGGTTCCCCTGAATTTACAGCGAAGTCGGTAATAGGAATTTCAAAGGTCTGCATATGCTGAATACACATGTCAAATTTGAACAATTTTGAACAAGTCGATTTTAACTAATTTATGAAAAACTCCATCTAGTTTTAAATCGAAACTGAACAGGTAACAATGCAAAACCAGGCATATGCTAACATACCTTAAGAATCCATTTCACTAGTTCGAAAAAGTAGCAAAATTAGAAGCGTTCGGCATTTAACGTTTATGTAAAACTAGCTAGGTATTTTTACACAAATGAAGAAGGAAATTAGAGATAAAGGATTATACTATATCCGTATTGTAGCACATTTTTAGACAACTTCTTTATTTTTAAGATTTCGATGGTCAAACAACATCAAAATATTCCTTATGTTTGGACTAAATTTTTTCGAAAATAAAGACATAATTTAAAATTCCGTTACAATACGGAAGTAGATTAAAGTTTTGTGATTATAGTGATATATAATTTATATCGTTCTGTAACAAATTGCTTGCTGTTTTATGGCAAATGCTGAAGCCCTCCAAACCTTGATCAAGCTTTAATCCAAGCACGTATGTTTGAAATTTTGGGTGTGGCTTAACACGACAGGATCTGGCTAAGTCTTAGGCAGATTTCTGAATTATAATATATATTTCCTTCGGTCACACACCCGCTTTACCCTGAGAGCGACCCGAACAGTACAGGAGTGCTTAAGTTTTCAACCTAGGATTTTGTGAATGTCAAATTTAATTTTTTGTACGTTACGCTTTTGCCTAATTTGGACAAGTTTTAAAACAAACAGATCTTTAAAAAATATATTTACGACTGTAAAATCAGTAGGGAGCCAATATATGGACAATTCAAAATTTAGATGGGATTTCTTATGTTTCAACGCCTATACACCACCCGGTGTATATATTTTTACTTAAATGTTTTTTATTTTTTTATATTGTATTTCTTTTAACATGCAGCAACGGTTTATATATGTAAAAATATATAATATTGTATAATTTAGTTTATTGTGATACGATATTCTGTGCACATGGTTTCGGTTCTCTTCTAGAATATAAGGTATAGTTTGTGCAATATTTTCAGAAACTAGCTAGGCTAAAGGCGCTCGTGTAAATACATTTTATTTCATTCTCTAGAAAACATATTGCTTTAGCTGTAAATTCTGGCTAGAATCTTATGTGACTTTTTGAAAATCTGTACAAACTTCACAGGATTCAATCAGCATGAGCATGACAGTGTTGCGGAGGTTTAAAAATAAAACAATAAAGAGGTTTCGTTATTTTGAGAGAAAAATGGAACTAGAGTTATTATCCCCTGTGGTTTATAAGTATTTTATGTGCGGAATCACTCTAATTTTTTTGATTAATATTATTAAGCATTTATCCCTAAATTAAATCTGATATTATTTAATAAAGATTCTTATTTTTAAGCATTACTTGCCAAAGCATTACTAAACCAAACAAGAAATATGGTGCTGTAAACATATTTTTTCTACAAACGTCAGTAAAAATGTAATTTTTAAGGTATGCTGTCAGTGCCTAAAATGTGACATATGTTACTGATGGTAAAAGTCATTTACTTTTAGCACTGGTGCTAAAAGTAAGTCACGTGATTTACTTTTAACGCTGAAGCGATAATTGTTACCCTAGCAACCATAAACTTCATAATTAATTTGATTTCAGAATGACATATATTATGAATTATTCATTAGCGTAAAAAGTAATAATACCTTGATATATACGAGCAGAAACTTGTTTGTAGAAAAAATAGTGTATGATATGTGTGCTAAAAGTGATTTTATTTTGTTCGAAGGGATGGGACAAGTCCCAAGCTTCCCTTCTCACAAAATAAAATACCACTTTTAGCACTTATATCATAAATAACTATTTTATTGCAATAAACAAGTTTCTAAATATTAGGGATGTCATGATGATAACATCAGTCAATATTTAAATGACATGATTGGATTCTCAAGTATATTATTTTTTTTAAATGTTCATTGTATTCTTCTTTTTTTAAGCATTTGTGTTTTCTTTAGGGCGAATGGTGAATCTAATTGTCCTTTAAAATGTTTTATGTATGTAATGCTTAATGTAAGATTTTTTATACCTTTGTGGTGGTAACATATTAGTAATTTTATGGGAATACGCCAATAAAACAAAGACTTGTGAATCATATATTTTCTAGTTATGAAAAAATCACTGGTCACCAAACCAAACACCATAGAAATAACTTGCTTAATGTTACATTAACTCAAAGTTATATGAAAAAATAAAACATACTATTTTAAGGAGTATTCCAATTGAAAACAAAAATATATAAAAACAAGTTAGGATTTTTTTAATAATATTTGTTAACAGTTTGATTCTTTAATTTTTGTCAACGTATTTTTATTTGAGTATTTGTTTTATTAGCGTTATTTTTAATAGATTATTGAAATGCTTAATGGAACTATACACTATTTAACTCAAAATATAGAATAAATTACAATGACAGTAGTACTATAATGAAATTGATTCATTTAGTTGCTGTTATCGGTCCAGAAAAAGACCACCACAAACTTTTGTATCTGTCCCAAATGCCAATGGTAGGTATCCAGCAGGTCAGTAAGAAAACATAATATTTAAATACAACTTTTAGCCCTAAATCGCACACTCGAACTTAGAACACGTTCTGCTACTCTTTTTACATTTTTGAAAAATAAAATTGAAATATTCTCTTTCATTTTATCTAAACGAAGATTGTCTTGACCTCTCCAGATCACGTAAAAACTATTCTGTTGGTGAGTATAGTTGTTAAACGTTAAAGAATCCACGTTTTAGATATTGCAATATTTATACAAAGTTTGTTGGAATTCGAATAATTGAATTTGACGACACTGTGCTCACAATGATGTTTTTTTTTCTTTAATTTAGTACCGATTATTAGAATCTAAGTATTATTTCAGTGGCACTGACGTTTTGAGAGAATGAATGATGAGTGACTGATTTTTGTGTATGGTAGGAAGTATATTTTTGGAAATGTTTGCCGTTTTTGTTAAAAGACGTTTTCCAGAAATATATTTATGAAACTACTACGCTGTTTTCCATAATCAGTAAAATTCGAGTTTGTTTATAGATTGAGACTAGATCTTATAAATTCTATAAAATATTATTCAAAATTTCAGTAGTGATATGCGCCATGTAATTTATTAAACTTTGAATTTTATGATGTCAGTTTCATCTTAAAACAACCTTTTATCGAGTGTAAAAGATCACGGCTTGGCTTTAAACAAACTCGTTTTTTTTCTATTTTCTACCACTGAAATATAAATAAACAACCTTTATTAATACATTACTCCACTATAAATTTAGGTCAGAGAAAGATCACAGAGGTCAGTACCAATGGGAAGCTTACCGCGCAATACCAAATCATCATTATCTGCTGGAACTCCCGATTCATTAAGCGACAATGAGAGTGGATTCAGAACGCCAAGAAGGCCGACGTATCGGTCAAACATCACCCCTGGTGGATCGAGAAACAACTCGAGACCAGCATCTAGAACGGGTAGCAGGCCTGGAAGTAAACCACCGTCTAGGCATGGGTCGAATTTGTCACTAGATAGTACAGGTAATATTAACAAAGAAAAAATTAATTATTCTTTTATTAAATTTGCTATTACTATTAGATGATACCCCTTCGAGAATACCTAGACGAACACCAACTACCTCAGGTCGCAGTTCAGCAACGCTGTCGTCTGCCAAAAGACAACTCTGAACGGAACGGGTTCAAGGCCAAGGACACCTAGTGGTCTTCGGTCGCCTGCTAGTCCAGCTCCTAGGTATTAGTTTTTCTATAAATAAATCTCCTAACATACCAAAATATAATCCAACACTAAATAATTTTTGATTTAATTTTGGGAACTTAATGATAAAAGAAAAAAATAACAAGAAAATGTAATAAGAATCTTCTTAGATGATATACCATTTAAGAAGTTTCTTGATTTCGCATTTTCATTTAAAATAACTAATAAAAGGTAACGTCGTGAACATTTTTTATCGAGATTTAAATTATTAAAATCTATTAGTGTTAGTATACCATACTTAATTATTCATTTAGCATTGATTTCTCTACTACGCCATATTAGCCTCATGTTCCTAAAGTTATATCAGATACTTAATAAGTACATAAATATTCTTTCTAATCAAAATTTTAAAAGCATTGAATTTATAGACTAATTTAACAAAAAAATATTGTATCAAGTAGTTTAACATAATAAGTGATTGATAACTGTAATGATTGAGCAACATGATATTAAATATTTGTTAATAGAATGATTAGGTGCATTAGGACTAAATTTTTACTATAAAATTGCGGAGAAAATATTCCATGTAAACAATTAATTTAAATTTGTATAAAATCTATTTTAGAATAAAAACAATCTCTATGACAATAAGATTGACTATTTTATTCTAAAATATGATTTTTATACAAATATAAAGCTTTCCAACACTACTAATAGAGGGCATGTATTTTCTTTAACCTTCGGTAGATCAACAGGCATATCCAGAGCCTCAAGCATACCAACCTTAACAGGACTTAGTTCAAGTTCATCAAGGTAAAAGAAAATGGGACAGAATTCTGTCATGTTCTGTATATATTGTTCGATAGCGATATTTTATATATTATATAATTTTGTTTCAAAATTCCGTTATAACTACTTTGCCAGTACTTGCCCTATTTTGATAGGCATTAAAAAACCATCTAAATTTGGAATTTTAACAAAATTATAGTATAATTATTTCGCAAAAATATATGGGAAACCGGTTTTGGTAGACAAATTAGAGGGGCAAAATTATAGATGGGAAATTTAGTGGGTTACTTAGGTTTTTTTTTGGTAATTGGGCCAACTAATCCAAATTTTATTTTTTCAAAATTGATTTTGGAATATATTACTCTTTACAGGAAATGTGTAAATGGAAAATGTGAACATTGAATTTTCGCCAATTCCAGCAAAAATTCCGTTTTAAATCAAAATTTAAGGTACAGTTTCGGTATTATAGCAAAAAATAATCTTGGTAGTTTTGACAATAATAATATTTACTAATAACTCTTAATATTTTTTAGTTTAATTCCAAATTTTATGTACTAATTAATTAAAATATACTTTGAAAATCTTCAGTTATTTTTTCAAATGAAATGTATTTATTTAAAAATAAATTACACAAATTGATCAGAAAATGTTAGATTACTATTACTAATTATTAATTTATAATGAAAGGTTGGCCTAAGAAACCAGACAGAACATTAATGTATAGACAGACTTAATAGAGTTGGTTGAAAAATATCTTTCACTCAACACTTATAGTTAAGCTGTCCACAGACCAGCATACAAGGGGGCACATAATATGTGCGACGACATGCGTAATATTCATGCGTGAGAACAAAATTATTGTACATTTTGTACAGCAAAGATATTCTTAAATACTGTATGTACCAAGTCTAGGTTATTCGCGACTAGAAAAGAAATCTACAAAATAAGTTTACGTTGATAACCATTGCGTTGAATCCAAAAGGAAACCAGCTAAATGTCATTTTCACAAAACATCTAAAGCGTTCTTGAATAGTTGCATTTAGATATTTTAAATATCTTTTTCTTTTTATTTTTTGTTTCTGACGACGGGAGGAGATATACTTCCTAAAACGTTAATAATTTTTTGTCGATTAAGATTTTTTTACTAGTAAAAAGCCACTGACAAACTAGTTTCCGTTTGGATTCAACGCAAATAACTTTTTGTACGACAAAACAACCTTATATGAGTTTATCAAACAAGTACGTAAATTGTTCATAGACCGGAGTATTCATGCCAGCTTCTGGCTTTGGGTGTTGATTTTCATGTATATTACAGTACAGTCAATGTGTACAGGGTTGATCAAATTCGACGCTTTTAAATGGAAACACCCTTTTCTATAGGGGATAGACGAAAACTAATATCGGTGTCTGGAGCTCAATTTTCATCAAAAACATGATGGTGAAAACCGCACATCAATATCTGTTACCGTTTCAGAGTTGCGGGGTGTTTTTCAAAAATGTGAATTTTTAACAAATCGCTGTAACTTTTTTGCTATGGAAAATTTTGTATTTCTATAAAAACATTTCCAAAGCACCTTTTTACGTAGAATTTAATGGTTTAAGTATAATCTTTTTAAAATTAATAATTTAAGGGTTATCAACAGAAAAATTGATTTTTATTTGGGACACCCTCTATATTTTTAATTAACTGAAAAGAATTTAAAATTACCTTTTCAAAAATATAGCACACTTGATATTTTGCTACAATACAGAATTTTAAAAGTTGCCACTTTTAACTAGTAGGCTTTGGACCCCTTATTGATGATATGCCCTTAATCGAACTCGATAATCTAGACAAGAATTAGAAATACTTAGCAGTTATGAGAGGGTATCTTTCACCCCCACTGAGTTAATGAATTCCGCGATAAATGTTCAAAAATTGCCCCGTCTGTCCATGACAGAAGACGGTCGATATGTCGAACACCTGTAGCAAAATCTCATGTCTTGGTTTGCTATTTATTTTTATAGTTATTAGATATAGTTTAAATGTGTTGATGTTGATTAAATATATTTTAAATTGTTATAATTCTGCATCTCTCATAGCAAATATTAGTTTCGTTTTAACTGATGCTCACAGCTAGAATTTTTTGGCGGTGCCGTTCAAAGCTCACTTATTTAAAGCGGGCGAATTTTTATATACTCTATATCTCGATGAATCTCTAAGGAATCGAGCAAAATATCAAGTGTGTTATGTTTTTGGAAAGGTAATTTTAAATTCTTTTCAATAAATTTAAAATATACAGGGTGTCCCATATAAAAAATCAAATTTTCTATTGATAATTCTTAAATTATTAATTTTTAAAAAAATATACTTAAACCATTAAATTCTACGTAAAAAGGTGCTTTGAAAATGTTTTCTTAAGAAGAAAAAAAATTCCATAGCAAAAAAGTTACAGCGATTTGTTAAAAATGCATATTTTTGAAAAACACCCCGTAACTCCAAAACCGTGACAGATATCGATATGCGGTTTTCACCATCATGTTTTTGACAAAAATTGAGCTCCGGACACCATATTAGTTTTGGTCTATCTCCTATAGAAAAGGGTGTTTCCATTTAAAAGCGTCGAATTTGACCCACCCTGTTCAGTACACTATGGTGTACTGATCAAAGTGAGGAGCAACTGCTTACAGTATAAGTCCTATAAAAATATAGGATCTTCTTCTTTTAATGCGCAGTAGTGAACGCAACATCTATCGGCAGTTAGACGACTCGCACGCTGCTCCAGAGAGCATAGCAAAAGATATATTAAAGAGCCAGTTTTCTTAAAATACTCTCTCGAAAACGTTACTAGCTCTTTAACTATCAAATAATTATATAATAAATAAACAACTGGCTTCTTACATTTTGCTTTATATCATGAGTCAATATACCCCACTGGCAAGTCTTGCTTCGCATGTACTGTCTTGCTGAACGCATGATGTATACCCTTCCCTAGAAGTACTGGATTTAAATTTTATGTTTCTGCAGCGTGACCGTCTCGACTGCGACGAAGCTGCCTATTCCCTTCCACGTCTCTTAACAATGTGCACAGTTTCTCGGTTTATTTCATACGTTTGGCAACGTTTTTACTCTTCTCCCTTTGTTCAGTACATTATAAATGCATTGTACTCTTCTTACATACGGAAATCTGAACCCAAACCCGAACCTTGACAACCGTAGTATATCAATGTATAGTATATACATAGTCATTTTTATACAGGTTTATAAGTATGACACACTGGTTACCCGTCTATGGGCTGCTAGGTACTTATCTGGCAATTCATATCGAGATTGAGCGTACAATTCTGCATTCTTATATATTAATGTCACGCATGTCGACGGACATGTGTGATGCACCTGTATGCTGGTCTGTTGGGCATCTTTAGATGTAATTTACTATGGGTAATGTGTTGGTTGGTATTGTAAAGGTCTCGCATACCGATATACAGAGGACATAGTAAGGACGAACCAGAGTCACTTTCTACGTCCAGTTCCTGTTCTATGTCGCTTTCTTCTGGGTAAATGTTCTATTAGTGCATGTTTTTGTCGAGTGGCGTTTTGGTTTTATCAAGTTATATTTTTTTGTTTTGTGCGTTTTTGATTTTTTTGTAAGTTAACATCTTATAAAATTTCATATAATTGAAGTTTGATTTACTTTCACCGTACAATATGCTTCAAAGAACTGTTTTCTTCTAATGTACCTATACTAACAGAATTTTCCATAATTTTCAGAGTTTCTCAGCAAGTATATGCATGTTTATTGAGAATTTAGCTAGTTCAGTGAAATCATTCAACGTGATTATAGTCTGTCTGATAAAAGAATTATATGACATTGGTGATTTTGTCTATTTTTTTTAATTTGCAAAACAGACTGTATTGTCTATATGAAGTTTTTAAGATCAACCATTCTCTGGTTAGGCACACTATATGTCGATAATACTGAACTAGCACTATTTTTTACTAACCTTTGTTGATATTACCGTTTTTGTGTGTGTATGTTACTAACCGTTTTTCTGTTTTTCTTTTTCCTGACTAACGATCAGTGACAAATCACTATCAAGTAAATCGAAAATTCCAATTCTAAAGAGGTAAAAATTCATTTACTGAACGCATTTCATATAGTTAGTAACTAAATGAATGTACAGTATGCTAAAACAGTGTACTTGTTTTACGACAATATACAATAAATTAAAAACAAGTATACTGTTTTTGTATATTATAACATTTTTGTACCTAATGCACGTGAATATTTTTTGTTTTAATTTGGCAAAACAATAATTATAGTATAGTAATACAGTAACGCATGTTGCATTTTGTATGTATATATTATTACTAGACTTTTTACAGCTAGTTCAGCACCAGTTTTATATTACATAATATACTTTAGTTTGCTGGATAATTTATAGCAATGAATTTAAGTATTGCATCGTTGTTTCACGAGATTTATACATATTGCATGTAATTTTATAGGTACTGCGTTTCCTTTTATATTTATAATTCATATTTTCCTTAATGTATTTTATCTTACTTAGTTTATTTATAAAAATAGGAAATTGCCAGTTTTACATACTACTCGCGGTTTTGGGACAAAAAACAGGGGCGTACCTTGTTTTATATTTAATAAAGAAATAAATATTAAGTATACAGTATATTTTAATAACTAAATATTAAGTTATTTTTGATACATATATAAAAGGAAATTGTGTCTTGTGCCTTTGGCATTTTAATGAATATAACCATTTTAACCTATTTCTAACCGGCATGTTGTGTGCCTTTTTAACGCAGGAGCGCAAGTTCAAACAAAGTTAGGCAAGTGACAATTGGCGTTGCCCCAACGTTAAGGACTGCCTCTAGGTAAATTAACTCTTTTAACAAGCTTCTAATATAAGAATGTTTGTTTTGTATTTGTTATAATTATCATAATTTACCATACTTCATTCGTTAAAAATATTTTAATTCTATTTACTATCCTTAAGTATAATTACAGTAACTTTTTTTAACGTTAAAGGTTTTTAAAGTTAACATTAAAAAACGTTTAACGTTAAAAGTTAACATTATTGATATGTTACAGAAAATAAAAAATACATTTCTTTAAATAATCCCATTTAATTAAAAAAGTTCACGAACATATTTTTTCAAGTGTCTTTGTGGTCTCGATTTTAGTCATTTACTGTGTTAATGTTATTTAGGGATAGATTATAAACAATATTCTTTATAAGGATTGTAAATAATCTTGGCATCGGCCAAGAAAGTGCGATGGAAAATCATGCTTAATGCTATCAACAAGGATGGTTAAACGTTATCTAAATTATCCAATCAACTATATACTCCTGTCTCGTGGTATATTTCCTTGCATAAAAGCTAATACTCATCTACGTTTACCGCGGTGCCGATATTTGGAATGTCGTTCTCGTTTCGTTGTAATGAGTGGACACTGATGTCCTGACAGATCACAAATTTAGAATAATTTTCATATTACTCAATTTTTTATTAGATAGCGTAGGGTAGTTCTCCATCTCCAATGTTCTACCAAAGTTTATGGTACGAATGGTTGTCGTCTCGGCTCACAGTGATGAGGTGTTCTGGTGTTTCCTCATTTTCCCCACGGAATTTGCATTCGCCGTTGTTTCTCAGCTTCACCCCACTGAGGTGTTCGTTGAGGAGACTCCTGTTAGAAACCCCGTAACAATCCGAAAATTGTTGGTACTTAAATCAAGGAAAATCTTTGATTTTTCTTGGTCGTGTCTTCAGAAACTTCTTCGAGTGTCTCAGACCGTTGCAGGATTCCCATTCCAGGTTACGGATGGAGTCTTCCAAGATCTTCAGTTTTGCTTTTAGTTGGTTTCCACTTGCGAAGCAAAACGGTTCTGATCCAGTTACTGGAGTTGCTCCTTTTCTAGCTAGATTATTTGCTTTCTCGTTACCTTCTATCCTTTGGTGAGCTGGCACCCAGAGTAGAAGAACTTTGTTTTCTTTGCCTAATTTGTTCAGCTTCTCTATGCATTCTTTGACCAACTTTGAAATGATACTGATAGTTCCTATCTAAGATAAGTTGTACACATATTTTGATAGCGTAGATTTCTACCTGTAGGATGCTACGGTAGGTGCCCATTGGTTTGGAGTATTTAGTTGTTGGCTCAAATCCTCCCTGTTTCTGCATTGGTTTTGGAAGTTTGGTCTTTTAACTGCTGAGCAAACGTTTCTCTCTTCCAATTCTTTTTATTGCTCAATACTAAATTGAGGTGTTTCTCAAAATTGTACATTCTCGGTATGTCATCCACTGGGAGTTGGAGGAGTGGTATTACTTTTTTGAGGGTGTTCCAAGCCCCTGATCTGACAATTCTCCCAGTACTGATTCCGTTAGCGATTATTCTAATCATTTGGAATATCTACCGATGACAATATACGGTGGTATTAGATCTAGAATGACCTCCATTGCTGCTGTTGGACAGGTTCTCATAGCTCCTGTGATGTAGATGCATGCCAGTCTGTGGTTTGGCAGTGGGTATTTATTTTTCATCTAATTGGATTCTTTTCAATTTTTTCAGATTTCGCTTTTTGGTGAATGGTACCACCGCACTACACACTCTTACACAAATTTCAAGAAAAACGGTTTACCAATATTCTTAATTTGTTTTGAGAATATTGGTAAACAATAAACAAAATATATTATTTGTATTTACCCGAGATTAATTTACCGATTCTTAATTTGTTTTGAGAATATTGGTAAACAATAAACAAAATATATTATTTGTATTTACCCGAGATTATTTTTACACCCTTCCGAGTGCCGGGGTAACCTGTAACTTTCTCGGAAAGTATCTTAGAGCATATGTTCATCTTAGGAACTTTTTGTTTTATTTTTATCTGTAGAATCACTGAAGTTGGATGTACTATTTTTTTGACACCCTATAATGTCATTGTTTTAAAATCAAATTTTGGTAACATCAAATCTATTAACCACTACACATCGATATTAATATCGATATATTAACCGTTTAATATTAATATTGATGTTAAAAACATCGAATATCACTGGCAAAACATCGATATTTCTAAAACATCGATAAAAACGTCCAATAGTATAATGCGATATAAAAAAATCGTTTATGACGAACTGCGGGGATTGTCGGTAAACCTTCTAGCCTGTTCTTTCGCTCTTCCACTTGAGTACGGTTTTCCATTTCACGGTCTTGGCGACGAATTCAGTTATACATATGATATTATATATCTACTAGCCTTATAGAGTGTATTATTTACGAGTATATGAGGGATAGTAACAAAATAAAAGTGCATATTTAGATATACCGTATGATAGAATAAAAACGGCGTCAGCGATGGCTATGAAATGAAGATCGCTGTCATTTTATATGTAAAATTATATGGGAAATGTCATAGATCGTCATTTCATAGCCATCGCTGACGCCGTTTTTATTCGATCATACGGTATTATTGATGAACGTTATAAGATAATATTTTGTTTGGACCGCCATTACAATACTTTTAGATATGAAAAGCTTTGTTTTTAATATTTTAACAACAAAGAACAATTTTTCTCACAAACAACACGAATTTTTGAAATATTAAAAATAAACCTTTTAATGTGTATAAGTACTGTATTAGTCTCAACAAATCTTATAATGTACATATAGGCATTTTTAGTAATTTTGTATTTTTATAATTTACATCTCTTAAATAAAGTGATGCGAATTATAAAGTTTCCACAAAGATGTCTTTGTGGGAACAGAGTAAACCTCAACGACTATCTTTCATCAAGATACCTTTAAATAACGAATAATTTGCATTACAGAGTGACTAATTAACCGATTATTTGTCTAGGACACGAACACCATCAGGCTCCAACACGCCAGTCCATCCAGACCAACAGACGGCAGTGTCCAGACTTCTGCGACGACCATCTGGAGCGTCAGAGACACCTACCGGCGTTGCGCGTAAAAAGAAGTCGTCTATCGAAGACAGGGAGCCATTTAGGTTATAATTACTTTTACAAAAACACATTTAGTTAGGTTTCTTAACTTATTTCAACTTACAATGACTGACATAATAAGTTGTAGGCTTCGTAATTCTAAAAAGAAGTTGTTCATATTTTTGTATAAAGTGTTAATTTATTGAAGATTAAAAAGCCTTTTCGGTGGGCAAAAATCGCCAGTTTTGCCAATCGAAGACGCCTAAGTTTGTTGCAACTTTTTCTAGTATATAGTTTAATATATAAAAAAATATACTACACTTATTTCTTTTTTAAAAGATAATTTTTTCTAGAACTTTTTAAAGGGATTTATTATTATATGTAAATTTTTTGTTCCCTTTTTTGTAAATTAGTTGCCATATAAACGTAGCAAAATCGGATTATTATTATTATTATTATTTGAAGCAATGTGATTTTTATTTTATTTTGCGATGATTTTGTTTTCATTTTTTTGTTGTTTACAATAGTTTTTGGTATTGTATAATGTTATTGGCTAAAAAGACGGGACCATTTTTTTATTTTAATTTTTCTTTACCAACGTTTACTAATTTTGCCTAACCATTTTTTGCTTTACACATTATGTTTCTGCTAGTCAAGCTCTAGCAAGTTCAAGTGTGATTACCAATTACCGATGGAAAGGTGAAACAATATTCTACAATCGCCAGTGTGGAATCTCGTTTCAGCCTCTATTATATATATGTATTGCTTTTTGTATTATTTAACTGTTAATAAAACTAAATTTTATTAAAAAAATATTTTTCATTCCTTCTTATTTCAAGTTCATCTCCTCAGATAAATTAGCCATTTAAAAAATATTGTATAAACATAAGATATAACAATATACATTGATCTGTTTTAAACCAACGTATACAAGAAAATATTAATAAAATTGGGTATTTAGTGTTTAATTTGATCACAGACAGTGTAATCTTTTTTTAAAGACCATCGGAATATTCATAAAAATAAAAAAAAGTATTAAATGAATACATTTCTCTACGTTAAAAGCATTTAGAAATTATATAAATAAAATATCAAAAAATGTATCTTAGCACAGATAACACATAATCCAGATGGCTCCTTACGTGTTAAAAATTGTCACCCTAATTTCACTCCAATTTGGAAAAATATTGGAGTGACATTTGAATAATCTGAAATTTTTAGATATCTTTTCTCACTTTTTTGGGAGGTTTTGCTTCTCTTGCACAGATGTCGCTTGCACTTCAGTTGCGTGGTTGCCAAACGTTATATCGAAATATATTTCATTTCATTATGAATATATAAAATTAAAGGTACTATACCAAATTAAAAATTATGTAATTTATAAACATGAAATAGATATGTTAAATTAATATATAAATATTTAACTTAATACGTTCATTATTATTTTATTAATCTATCGTCACACGTCAATTACCAGTTCCCTAATTACGAAAAGTTTCATATGACATTAACCTCAAAAATGATCTTTGAAAACAAACAACAACAAACAGAGCAACAAATGAACAAATAACTACATAATGACTGATAATGATAAGTGATTATTATTATCACTTTAATGATATGAAGGCTGATGAAGGTAATTATAAACATTATTTCGAGTTTGTTTAATAAAATATAGGATACAATATAACTAAGCAAAATCAAACAGTTTTAGACAACCAATACAAGATTTTAGAACTTGACATCGTGATAAACAAATTGTACATTCAGGAACTCGTTTAAATATTATAGGTAAGTAATATTTTCACAAAACTAAACATTTTAGCATAAAATCACAGGTAATATATAGAATATTACCTATGATAAAATGTTAAATACTGATGTATATTTATTCTAATCACATTTAAATTTAAACTCTTAATAATAATATATAATATAATATAGATAATTTTTCGTAAATATAAAGTAAATAATATTACATATTTCAGGTTGATTGACGAATACTCTACAGTTGATTAGAGCCCATGATGATGCGAAGATAATTAATATCACCTAACTTCAAGAAACCAACGTAAAGAAGTTTACATTCATAACTCATCTAACCATTATAGGTAATCATTTACAAAATTAGCCATTTTTGATTATAATATTAAGGTACTTAGGTACATTTTTATCTTCTAGATCAGTAATGTCGTCATAATTTAAATGAACTCACAGATAGCAATGGGGCACTGCACCGAAGCAGTATTACAAAATATGTGAAATAAAACTGTAATACAAATTGCTCTATAAAATTTAATAGAAATAAATTTATTTATCAAAATTAAGTTATGAAGTTTTATTTTTCCTAGGAAAAAAATAACATTTATATTTTGATCAATTTAGAACATTACAGTTAAAAAAATATGTGTTAGAATAACATATTTTTAATAAAATTGCAGCCTTTAAATTTATACTTTTTTGCTTTTATATCAATAAGAACTAACGTAAGGAACAATTCATATTTATACTATGAAAACACATGCATATTTTTTGATGTTTTTAAAACCAGTGAATGATGTTGAAATATACTACACCTATTATTCTTATTAACTAACTTTAATTATAAACTTACACATTATTGTCATTGGAAATAAATTAATTTGGATATTCTATTGTTTAGAAACTTTTTTACCTATTGTAGTTTTTTTAAAACCTACTTGATTAAAAACAAAAAAATGTCACCTGTTGTGACAAAAATAAAAGGTCTTTTTACTAGAAACAATCTAGTGAGCTTTTCTAATAATACTTTATTTGATATACCATATGATCGAAAAAACGGCGTCAGCGATGGCTATGAAATGAAGATCGCTGTCATTTTAAATGTAAATTTATATGGGAAATGTCATCGATTGCCATTTCCAATTCCAATTTTCAATTTTACCAATTTTCATCCCTTATTTCTTATGGGATGGATGTCCAAAATTTGCTTCTGAGTACTCACTTTCGTCACTTAATTAACAATTTCCAAATTTCAAACTCCTCGGACTAATTTTAAAAAAGTATGCAAAATTTCACCCCCAGTTTCACCCCTTAGTAGAAGAATTTCCTAAAATCGCTTTGTATAATCGAACTGTTAAGTTACGCTACTTAAGGCACCTCTGTGCAAAATTTCGTAGTCCTAGGACATGCTTTTTTTTTTGTCTACAAATGTACCCCCATATCACCCCCTTAACGAGCGAATTTCCAAAAATTGCCCCTTAGTGTTCAATTACGTCAGTCAAGGAGCACTCGTGTGAAAAATTTCATACTCTTAAATCAGATTTTAACAAATTTTTATGCAGCTTTTCATCCCTAATTTCACCCCTTAGCGGTCGAATTTTCAAAAATCCCTTCTTAGTGCTCATTTACATCACTTAAGGAACCTATGTGCCAAATTTTATTTATTACTATATAGATAACCTTTTACCCTTATTTTCAGCTAATGAATATTAAGAGACAAATAATAAAAATAAAATCTAAATTATAAATTTCATGGCTATAAATAGCATATATATGCATCTAGAAATTCTGACTTTCAAACATCCACTGCGACTAGTATTTTCATATCCAATTGTCTAGTATTAAAGTGCGAATATACATTTTCCCTGGGTTTGACCGGGAATTTGCTTATAAATGTGAACAACCGGCTACGTCGCTTCACATCGCGTGGCCGTGGTGTGGCTCCAAATTGGTTCGTTTTAAAAATATTATTAGATTTGGCTATAGGCGCCCTCTGTGTCATTAATAGGGAACTGTCTCATCGAAAACATGCTGTTCCGTAAGCAATGGCCATCTGGATTATATGTTATCTGTGATCTTAGATCATATCGTTGCCTTTCTGACGAAGATACCTAAACATTTTGTAAACATTACAGGATAGCTAAAGAACAAAAACGGGATAGGTTTAACTGATTTTATTCAATTTTATTGGTTTATTTAAGAAATGACAGCTCATACTTAAATGTAATTGAAGTGACGGAACGACAGACGACATGAACTTTGGACATGAATGCATGTAAACCCACACTAAAGCAGCGTAGTAGGTTAATTTTAAAGCTAATAATTTCCGAACTATTAGTAATGTAGATATGCCACTTCGTAATATCAGAGAGGTACACAAAGATCATACTAGTTCAGAAAGCGCAATTAACCCTGTTGCATTATAAACACAAGCATTAACGATCTGATTCACTCTAAGTGCACGTTCATATTGGCACCCCTTGAGCGGTGAGCTTTGCGTGTCGTGCATCGAGCGATATCATCTCAGGCGTTGTGCAATGTGGTGGTATTCATATTGAACGAGAGGTGCTTTGCTTTGTTTCAGTCGTTTCTTCCTAACCATTACAAGACAATTACGTTGGTAAAGAGGCATTTGTTCATAGAAAATTTACGCCTAAAATTAGAAACTATTAGACTCTCGGACAGGTCATGGCCAAGAACAGCTTCCGTCTCCTCGAGGTGTTTATGTCTTGTAGCTATCGCCCAGTCATCTTCATACCCAAGCTTTCTAGCTGAATTAGCAGACATATCAGCTTTATGATTATGAGCTAAGACGGGACCTTGTGACAATCCGTTATTAAGTTTCATCTTTTTGCTTTCTTGCTCTTCCAGATTGAAGGAGTGTTTCGGTTTTACCTGACAGAGTGTTTTATCGATTCGGTTCGATCTCCAAACTGTATCGTACGCCGCGGTCAAGTCAATAAAAGCAACTGATATTTTTTTTTCTTGGTGTTGGAATACTGTTTTGATGTAACTTGTTAGGGACAGAACCTTATCTACGCAGCTACATCTAGGACGAAAGCCAGCTTGTTCAATTGATATGCTCTCCATAATTTTTGGGCTGTTATAGATTAGTCTCTCCAGCAGCTTGTAGATTGTGCTCAGCAGTACGATTGGGCGAAAACTCTGCGGCTTGCCCTTAGGCTTACCTGGCTTTAGGATGGCGATGATTTTAACTCTTTTTAGTGGCTGTGGAATTGTGCCTGTTTTAATTATGTCCGTGAAAAAGTGCATCAGCCATCGCTTTGTTAATTCACCACAATTCACAAGGAATTCCGAGTGGATGCCGTCAAATCCCTGAGCTTTGCCAGCCTTAATATGTCTAATGCTTATAATATTTCTTCAAAGGTGAACAGTTGGGAGTATGCTGTCTCCTCAGCACAGGATGATTTGAGCTGTTTTAATTGTCGCTTGATTTACATTGTGTGTGCACGGTCGTTTCGTGCTTTTGAATTATCAACAATATTAGAAGCGATTTCGTTTGGGATCACAGGAGTGCCCAATCTCCAAAAAATTTCTATTAATACGTACAGGGCGATGCTGGCTATGTGAAAAATCATCTACGACATTTCGTGTAGTTGGAAGGGTGTGTTCGTTGCTGTCTGAAGAAACGAAACACACAAATCTGGGTTATAATCCTGTCTCCATGTTGCAGACTAAAAAGTAGAGGAAATGAAGGTATTTTGGAATAGTAGTTACATATAAAATTGCAAAAAATGTAAATGTTGATTATTTTGAATAAAATAAATAGTGTACCTTACATCTACATATCTAGTATGCTTGCGTATCTAGTATCTTTGTCGACGTAACATGCAGGTAATTTGGAATACCACCAAAATAGCAGCAGGTATGTTGTTTATATTAAAAAGGTAAATAAAACATTGTGGGAAAACTATCCAAATATTTATTAAAAGAAAAAATTAGGTAGAATATTACAGTTAGTCGCACATATACGTTCCGGCGTCATTTCCAACCATATAGATAAAGGAAATAAATTTAGATTGGAAAGCCCGCCAAAATATATAATTGTTTTGTACCGCGACCGTTGTAAGCGATCTGGCGCTGCCTGCTATAGCGGTTGCTAAAAACAACTGCAAACAATAACAGAAATAATTTTCTCTTGTCAAAGTCAGAATCTTCAAAAGTTATAAAATCTTTCAAAATTTAAACCGCCTTTATTGAAAAAATACCGAAAAGTGTTTAAACCGTCCATTCTCAAAGTAATTATCGCTATCTTGTGAGCTTAATTTAAATTTTAGTTACTCAAACCCGTAATAATTGTGAAAAAGTGGCATTAAAAACTAAAAAAATCTGTGTTGTGAACTGTGCACTGCAAAAACCATAGTGGATCGTGGCATAACGTCGGTTTCTATTGTTTCATAGGTATTTCACATACATGTCCTTATGAAATAAAGTTTCTTGTATGCAACACACTGTATTTTATTTATAATATTAAAAGAAAATAATAATAAATTTGACAGCTGATTCGAAATTATCAAAAGCTTTGGGTCGCGACCGTTGCAAGAATAGCGCCAAATAGTGTTTACATTGTCCTTATGGGCACTTTCCAATCTAAACTTGTTTGATTGGTTTTTCCAACATAGAGTGCACTGATGATTTGCATGTGAGTCACTGATTCCACTACTCTCCTCTTGCACCTTTTCTTCGCTGAATAAGAACATAATAGCTTACTTTGGGTTTTTCTTATTACCGATTCTGAACCGTCCTATAACTGTGATACGCAAACGCAGAAGGAAATATGAAAAAAGTATCTCAAATGCGCATACGCTGCAGAGTTCTAGGACGGTTCAGAATCGTAAATAACAAGAACTCGAACAAAGCTACAGTCTCTTCTGGCTCTCTATTTAAATCAAATTCTGGAGCGAGTTTTGAGGAGGAAGTTCAGATTTCGAGAGACAAGAAAAATCAAGTCCATTTAGCGTGTGTCGCAATTTTCACACCTTAAAAATTATTTTTTATAGCTATAGCAAGTGCAGCGACTATGAAAAAAGTTGTGTGGTTTTCATAGAAAATAACGGCACCTTTAATTCATTTGAGAATGTTATAAATCGCTAAAAGAGGTTTCAAATCTTGTGGCATTAGAAGTTATAAAAAAGATGGAATGCTTTTTTATAAGAATTTTCTTTTGGAAAAATATTAAAACAACTAACACTATGCGACGGAGCTGTTTGCCGGTGAGTAATGGGTCGTAAGCTAGTGAAAATTAAATTGTGATACTTACGTCTTTATAAGATACTGGGCGCCACTCAGTTTTCCATTTACTTTCGAAAAATTCCAAGTTGAAAATTGAGAAATCAACTCAGAATATAGGTATTACTTATTTTAGGAATTACACAAATGAAACGCTGAGATAAACTAATAACTAAGTATAATTAATAATTAAATGTAAAATAGAATAAAATAAGAATATGAAAAAATTTGGTGTTTGAAAATATCTGTTGGTAAATTGTATGTCAAAATACATCACTCTTAATAATGGTAGTTTAAA